GTGTCTGTGTGTCTGCAGTCACGCGCAGTCACGGTGTTTGCTTTCGTCCCTCTGGGGAGCCGAACAAAAGCCGAACTTGACTCCTGCTGTCTGCCCAGAAACTGGAGACGGCCAGTGGAGGGAGGGACACTGAGCTGCCCAGCTGCCTGATGGGGGATGCGGAGGGCAAGCTTCTCCCCGTCCGCCCCCAGATCTCTTGGCGCTGCTGCGGAGGTTCCTCCCAGCAGGAAGGGTGCCTCCCAGACACTCCAGACACCCTCACACCCAGCCTGAGGCTTTAACCCCTGCCCACAACCCCCACTCACCCCGACACCTGTGCTACGCGCCCAATACCCCCATGTCCCAAATTAGGTGTCTTTGGGGGTTTTTTTTGTTTTTTAGCTGCACAAAACCTTTTGAAGGATTTGATTTCAATATAATTCTGCTTTTGAAATGAAACAATGATATGGCTTGGGTTACCTCTGGCTACCACATCTCAAGAATTCTTGGGGGGTAAACGGGAACAGTCCACCTTAGGAACAGATTTCAGACAGTGCAGAATTTTAGGTCATTCCACAATGAATGAGTCTGACTCAGTGCCACATTTTGTAAGTGGTTCATGAGCTTTTATTCCTGTCTCTGTCACTCCCTACCTCTTTCTTTTTTTATCAGTAGGCTCCCTTCCCCACCCTAACCTCAGGGACGTCCTAGCTGTGTGACCTTGGGCAAGTTCCTTAACCTCTCTGGGCCTTCTCTCCTCATCTACTAAGTGGGATAATAAAAGCTCCCACCCCATACTATTGTTATGAGGAATAAATGAGCTAACATCTGCAAAGCACACAGAAAGCTCCTTATGGTATTCAAAAACATACAAATAAAACCAAAAATAGGTGAAGTAAGTAAAAATGAATTCAATGATACTACATTTAAATCTTACAAATGAAAATAAATCAAAGAAAAAGGAATATTAAGCTTTAAATCACAGAAATAAATAAATAAGATGGGTTGGGAAAGCCCGAGGGAGCCACTGGGGGCTGGGGACAGACCCACACTCACCCAACTAGACAGGACGAGGCTGCACCCAAACCCAGAGCCATCTGACTTTATAAGCAGGTGTGTTCCTATGCCCCTTCCTTTTTGGCTTTCCAGGACTCCTTGGGCTGGGCCCGCTTCAGGATCACCCCGCTCACACGCTCTACTCCAGCCCAAGGAACCTTCTCGTCATCCTAAGATGCCCTGAATCCACCGGGCCTGGCCCACCCTCTGAACTTTGCCCGCACTGGTCTCCATCCTCTAACCCTAGATTCTCTCAATCTGTGCCCCGGACTGGACCCCACGCTAGCAGGCACTTGGGGGGGTTAGGCACAAGGGGGTGGGTATGACGGAAGAAGGAACATCTCCCTCTGGGAGTTCACAGTCCAAAGTATGGTTGCAGGGGAAGCCAGCTCCAGCCTACCCCAGGGCCTTTGCACTGGCTGTCCCCTCTGCCTGGAATGCACTTCATTGAAATATGCACACAATTCCCGCCCTCTTTCCCTTCTGATCTCTGCTCTGGTGATAGAGTTGCTTTAAAGTTGCAAACATCTCCCCCACTCTGGGCACTCCTTTTCCTTGCTTGGCTTTGCACATACATACCTTGTTTACTATCTACCACTCTGCCCTACTGTCAGCTCCAAGAGAGCAAGCATTTCCTCCTACAACAGTACCTGATACAAACGTTTGCTGAATGAATACTCAAAAGCCAGAGATAAGGGTCCTTGAGAAAATGAGTCCTCAGAAAAGCAAGTGGCCACTGGAGCTTGGGAGAATGGAGGCCCTTCTGGAAGAAGAGTTACGGGCCCCAAACAGGGTGGGCCTGAAGAGGGTTTGACAGGCAGCAACATGTGCAAGAGAGGGCTTTCCCAGCAGAGGGAACAGCAGGGGCAAAGGTCCTGTGGCTAGAAACTGAGCAGGAAGCAGTGGGGACATGAAGGCAGCAGGGTGCTGTAGACAGAATAGGGAGGAGAGGGAGCAGAAGCTACAGGGTGGGAGGGGGTGGGTGCTGAGGAGCCTCGGGAGAGTCCAGAACGGGGAGGGGCCTGGTTGAATGGAAACTGCCAGAAGGATCAGAGGAGGGGCCGAGGACAGTGTTCCAAAGGCCCAGTGGCTCCTCTGCCAGGCCCTGGGGCACATGAGCCTGAAATCGGGGGACACTGGGCATCTCAGTGGCCTCAGACTCACCTCTGTCTTCTTAAATCGCGTCCGGAGGGTCTTCATGGCCAGCGTCTGATGGTTCGCCTCAACCCAGGCCACCTGGGGAAGCACAAGATTGGGGTGGGATGGGTACCTGGTAAGCCGAAGGGTCACCCACCTCCCCTTCCTCAAGAGAACCTCTTCCTCGTCCCTGGGCCATTTCAGACCCATTTCCTCCTGCTTGAGGAAGCAGGACCCAGATGCAGGACGCCCCATCTCCTAATTGCTGTGTGTCCTTTGGCAGGTCACTTACCCTGAGTCTCACCTTCCTCCAACTTAAAATGAGGGAGATAATCCCCTTTTGACCCACTTTTGGTGGGTTTTCAGTGACATCCCTAGCATAGAGCCTGGTAAACTGTAGGTGCTCAATACATATACCCCACCAATATTCCCTGTTGTCTGAGCAGATCCAGCCTTTCCTGGTCTCCAAGCTCCCATCTGTGCAGGTACTTCTACACAAAACGCTCTTTCTTCTCCTTCTTCCCTGGCGAATTCCTATGTACCCTTCACAGGCGGGTTCCAAAATCCCGTGGTTTTTTTTTTTTTTTTTTTTTTTTTTTTTTATTATTTGACAGAGCTCACAAGTAGGCAGAGGCAGGCAGAGACAGAGGAGGAAGCAGGCTCCCCACTGAGCCGAGAGCCCGATGCGGGGCTCGATCCCAGGACCCTGGGATCATGACCTGAGCCGGAGGCAGAGGCTTTAACCCACTGAGCCACCCAGGCACCCCAAAATCCCATGTTCTGATGAGCTTCATCTGTCGTCCGCAGGCTGAACTCTTAACTCCTCAGCCTGGGTTTCCCTAACCCTACTTGGGTCCCTTCCTTGGCCGCAGCCCTGGCTTTGAAGGCTGCAGGTGTCTGGGCAGGAACCGTCGTCCTGAACAGAGAGGGGCTCCTGGCGATTGGGCCCAGAGCTGAGGCCATCTAGCACCAAGGTACGTTTCTCGGATAATCAGAGAAGATTATCTGCAGCCGAGTCATGGAGGCAAGTCACCCCAGGTGAGCAGAGGTGTCCCAACAGGCCTGTGAATTCTCAAAACTATCCTCCCACCTGTCCACTCACCGTCCTCCCACCAGAGCATGGACACAGCCGTCCGCGGGCTACCAGCCACCAACTCACCTTCTCGCGGTTCCTCATGACCTTTAAGTCACAGTTCGTCCACCATCCACCCACCGTCCATCCACCTCTACACCCAACGCTCACCCCTGCATTCACCCATCCACCCCTCCCGCCTACCCACCCACCTATATCCCCTAGTATCCACCCGCCCCTCCCGCGATCCCTGCCCATCACTCAGCACTCACCCTACCCTCTTCCTTCCTGTCTGTCTCAATCTCACCCAGAGCTGGGTGTAGTAAGACACCCAAGAGGAGTCCACAGGTTGGCGGGGCAGGAGGGGATCCATGGGCTTGGGGGACAGGACTGGCTTCCTGGAAGAGGTGATGGTATCTAATGGAGGGTCTGATGGCCAGGCAGGAAGCTGAAAGGGGTGGCAGCAGATAAACAGGGTACAGACCCTTTGCCATGCAAAGGCTGGCAAGTGGGAAGTGCGTGCGTGTGTGCGTGTGTGTGCACGCGCACCTGGGCAGCTCCTCAGCATAGCTGGGACAGACGCGGGCCTTGCCTTGCTCCCATACACCAGGGCCCTGAGGCCCTAAGGGGCGCCTCCATCCCAGGCTTCCCTCGCTTCCTCCACTCCTACCTCCTGCAACTCCAGTCACGCTAGCACCAGGCCTCCTCGCCCTCTGCTGGCTCCAGTTACCTGCTCCCAGCTGGGCCACCAGCTCACACCCGCAGCTCCAAGCGCTCAGCTCAGACACCCGATCAGCTCTGAGAGGGTATCCGCCCCAGGGGGCCGGGGATGAGCAGAGGGAGGAGACAGGCTGGCCAACGAGCTCTGGCCGGAAGACACCCTCGCTCTTCCAACACCCCCCACATCTCTTCCCAGGCTTTGCCCTTGCTGTTTCTCTACCAGGAACGCCCCTTCTGTACCCCATGTCGTTCCCAACAGGCTCACTCTCCCCATCTCATTCCTACTCACTCTTTGGATCTTTGCTGCAGCACCCCCTCCTCCAGGAAGCCTTCCGGGATGTACCCAGGCTGGGTCAGGTGCCTCCTTTCAGCTCCCTATGGCTCGGTGCCCTCAAGGCACCTTAATCACACTAAGGCACCATCTGCCGCTCACCGGTCTGTGTCCACCTCTCGCCACAAGGTGCCGCCTTTGTTCTCCAGTGTCTCCCCAGCACGGTTGGTGCTCAACACGTTTCTTAAACGCATCCTCAACGCCACTGGCCCCAGTGCCTTTGAGCAGGCGCTTAGCTGGTCACCTGTACTGCCGTGTGCAGAATACCACCCAGCTGGATGACGCCCGGGTAATTCGGAGCGGCGTTCAAGCCCCTACGTGGTGAGGCCCCACACTGCCCCCCCCACCACCCACGTGCACGATTGCCCTACATTGGTGACTTTATTCCCTTCTGAAATGTGAAGCGGAAAGAGCCCCGACTGGAAGCACGAGTCCTTTGTCCTCGTGAGGGACGTGGGGAATTCAAACGGGGCGCCGGTTGCTTGTGCCCCTCACTTGAGAGCTGACTGGCGCACTGTCCCATGGGCGGCAGCCAGTTTCCAGCCACCCTGCAACACTCCGAAGAAAATTGACTTCCCTTTGCCAGCACTGGGGATGGCGCCCGAGGCGTCAGGCGAAGCGCATGCGTCTTGGAGGCAGAGGCCGGGCGAGTAGGGAGGAACACGACTCCTCCCCCACCCCACGTCCCACCCCGTTTCCGGCGGAAGCGGCCTCAACAAGATAAACTTTATTGTTCCCGTCGGGGCGGCGAGGATGTCGGTGAATTACGCGGCGGGACTGTCGCCGTACGCGGACAAGGGCAAGTGTGGCCTCCCCGAGGTGAGTTCGGCCCGGCCTCCCGAAGGCCGCCCGCAGCGCCGCGGGCTGGGCGGGGTCGGGCAGCAGCGGGGCATTGTGGGAATATCGGGAGGCACTGAGGCTAGACAATGGGAGGGACTTCCCAGAGAGGAGGGGGCGGGAAGTGACGCCCCCTGCGCTCCCGGGGACCCGGACGCCCCCAGCCCCCAGTCGGCCTGGCCGGACCGAGGGAGGCACCCGCGTCGCGGGAAGTCCCGAAGTTCTGATGAGGGAAGCGTGGGAACGCAGTTGCAGGCGGAAGGCTCGGCAGGGCCGAAGGCGGGGAGGTGGGAAGAAACACACTTGGGGCACAAATTAGGCGAGAGGTTTCCAGAGCCTGGACCGCAGGGACCGCACGTGCCAGGCTGGGGAGCTGACACTTTATCCTGAGGGTGATGGAGAGGGGTTTCAGGTTGGATGGACGTAGATAGTTTCAGCAAAACCCCTTCTGTGAGTCACTTCCCTTCTGGGTCCCCTCGCCCCTCTGTAAACTGGGAGGAAGATCGCCCCATCCCCTAAAGTCTGGTCCGCGCGTTCTGAGGCATTTAATAAGAGCCCTCGGAATCCCTCCCGAAGCCCCTCTCCTCTACTGCCTGGCCCTTGATTGGTCGCTTGATTCCACAAGCATTTATGGAGCACCAACTATGCACCAGGCACATTCTCATCCCTCATTCTAGCAGAGAGACAGACAAGGAGCAAGTAAATATAAGTCCGATGACGGTAAGCTTCAGGGAGAAAAGTAAAGAGGGCAGTGGTGAGGAGAGCTGGGGCTGCATTGAAACCAGGGCCCAGGAGGCATCACTGAGATCACTTTTCTTTTTTCAAATTTTTTTAAACATTTTTTTTTTAATTTATTTGACAGAGAGAGAGAGATCACAAGTAGGCAGAGAGGCAGGAGGAGAGAGAGGAGGAAGTAGGCTCCCTGCTGAGCAGAGAACCCCTAGTGGGGCTGGATCCCAGGACCCTGGGATCATGACCTGAGCCGAAGGCAGAGGCTTAACCCACTGAGCCACCCAGGCGCCCCTCAATTTTTTTTAATTGTGGCAAAATACACAACATAAAATGTCGCATCTTAACCATTTCAAGTATACAGTTCAGTGGCATAGAAAACATCCACGCCGTTGTGCAACCACCCCCCTACCCTCCATCTCCAAAACTTTCCATCTCCCCACACGGAGACTGTCTCTGTGAAGCATGGACTCCCCACCCCCTGTCCCAGCCCTGGCTCCCACCTTCTCCTCTCTGTCTCTGTGAACAGGACTCCTCTGGGGCCCTCCTAGGAGTGGGGTCCTGCAGGATGGGTCTTTCTGGGCCTGGCTCCTCTCACTGAGCCCAGCGTCCTCAGGGGTCCCTCCATGTCATGACAGGTGTCAGGGTCCCTTCCTTTCTAAGGCTGGATTGTATTCCAGTGTGTGGACGGGCCACACTGTGCTTATCCTTTTGCCCATCAATGGACCCTGGGGTTGATTCCACATTTTAGTGATTGTAAATGATGCTGCTGTGAACACAGGTGTGCAAATGAGATGATTTTTGAGCCAAGAGCTAAAGGAGGTGAGAGAGGAGCCATGTGGGTAGTGCTGTACCCTCTGCCTAGAGCCTGTGCAAAGGTCCTGAGGCAGGATCAGGCCTGGTGTGTTGGAGGAATAGTGAGGAGGCATGTGTGACTGGAGCAGAGTGGGTGAGGGGGAGAGAGAGGGAGGAGGGGAGAGTAGATCGTGCAGGGCCTCCAGGGAGGCCACTGGGAGGGCTTAGGCTTTTAGGGAGGGCTTAGGCTTTTAGGCTCCCTAAGGATGCGGGAGCCCCAAGGGGCTGTGGACAGAGGAGGTACATGAGGATAAGCTCCCTTTTCCAGTGGGTTCTCTTCCCCCTACTACCCCCCACCCCCGGGCAAGGCAGGGGAATCCCAATCTGTGGCTAGTGGCTTTGCCACTTGGGACATGTTTTGACCTCTGCCTTCTGCTCTGTTCCCTGACAGATCTTCGACCCTCCTGAGGAGTTAGAGCGGAAGGTGTGGGAGCTGGCGCAGCTGGTCTGGCAGTCCTCCAACGTGGTGTTCCACACAGGTGCCGGCATCAGCACCGCCTCGGGCATCCCTGACTTCAGGTCTGTGGGCATGGAGGGAAGGTTGAGGCAGGGTCCGCTACCGCCAGCATTTTCCCTGTCAACTCACAGAGGCTTGGCCATCAGAACCCGTCCTACGGCCTTTCCCGGGGATGTTGGGGACTGGAAAGACCCACCCTTGCAGACCGTTCCCTTTAAGTCAAGCTCAACATTCCATTGGTCACTCACACCTCATTGGCCAGAGCGTGGTCACCTGACTATCCCTAGCTGCAAGGGATCCTGGGGAATGTAGTCTTTTGCCTGGGCCCACCATGCATGCCAAAGTACTGGGGTTCTATTACCTTAGACAATGAGAAGATTGCTATCAGGGGCAGTTGGCTCCATGCTCACTTGCAAATATTTTTCTGTCGGACCTGGTGTCAGGCAAGTGGCTTTAATCATCCCGACCTCGGGCTCTCACCTGTTGACAAGGGTGTGCCACCAGTGTCTAAGCCCCTCCCTGCTTGGGGCAGCCTGTGTTGGGCAAGAGTCTTCTTGCTGAAGCGCCACGGTCTCAAACTGGCACCCCCTAGCGGCCCCTGAAGGCACCGTGCCCTATAGGGCAGGCCTGTCATGTTTATACTCCCTCCCTAGGCCTCATGGGCCCTTAGCCCAGACTTGCATCGGGGAAAGCAGATTCCTGGTTCCGGGAGGAATGTCACACTTCTAAGGCGTGTTTCCCTCCCACCCCTCCTCCATAATCTGCCATGACTCCCCACTGCCACACAGGAGAGTTCCCCATACTTCAGGATGGAAAGAAATCAAAGCCCTTCCTGACCCCACCTCAGGACGCCTCTCCCACTCGGGCCCTGTTGCTCCCACTGGAGCCCCCAGACCACTTCATTTCCCCCAACTCACAGGCTGTTGTCAGTCCCCTAGGCCTTTGCTTACCCCTCCTGCCCGAACTCTCTTCCCTTTCCTCGCACAGCTGAAGAGACAGCTCAGCCTCCTCCAGGAAGCCTTCCTGCACTCCCCATGCACAGGCTCCAGCACCTCCACTGGGCTCCTCCAGCTTCACAGCTGCGGGGTCGGTGACCACTTAGGTCCACCCTCCATGAGATGGAGGACTCCTTGAGGGCAGGGCCTCGGTCCACTAGGACCTCAGCATCACCCAGCACAGGGCCAGGCTCAGTGTAGCAGCAGAAAATGTTGATTGTAATGAATAATTTTTTGCTGTCGTGCGCCACAGGCTCTCCCCTTCCTCTCCCTGCCCCCTTTATCTCTCCCTTCTCTTTGTCTTTTTTTTTTTTTAAAGATTTTATTTATTCATTTCACAGAGATCACAACTAGGCAAAGAAGCAGGCAGAGAGAGGGGGGAAGCAGAATCCCCGCTGAGCAGAGAGCCTGATGGAGGGCTCGATCCCAGGACCCTGGGACCAGGGCCCCAGCCAAAGGCAGAAGTTTAACCCACTGAGCCTCCCAGGCACGCCTCCCTTCTCTTTGTCTCACATACTTTCTTTTGTCTCTCCATCTTTGTCTCCCTGATTCTCTGTCTCTCTCTGTCTCTGTCTCTAATGTTCTGTCTCTTATTCCTTACCCTGTCTCCTTGAACCCTAAACTCTCTGTGTCTCCCCACACCTACCACCTTCAGGGGCCCCCATGGTGTCTGGACAATGGAGGAGCGGGGCCTGGCCCCCAAATTCGACACCACCTTCGAGAGTGCGCGGCCCACGCAGACCCACATGGCGCTGGTGCAGCTGGAGCGTGTGGGCCTCCTCCGCTTCCTGGTCAGCCAGAACGTGGACGGGCTGCACGTGCGCTCCGGCTTCCCCAGGTAACCCCCAGCTTCTGGCCCTGCTCCCTCAGGGCCTCAGTCTCCTCATCTGTCAAGTGAATGCTGATGCCGGCCCCTCCAGTATGAGGCCGCCACAGCGATTTAGGCAGCAGGAAGAAGTGCCAAGCGCCCTGCGGAGCTCTGTGAACCAGAGCTGTCATCCACCGTCACTGCCTCCCCGGGCTCATCTTGAGAATTGGGGTCCCCTTTCCTGGTCCCAGGAGCTTCAGGGGTGCTTCCAGCCCTGACCACTGTGCTCTGGACCTCTGTCGGCTTGGAGTGTGGCCCTCGGCCACCAGCACCAGGCCTGCTCCAAAATCTCCTTCGGGAGGGAGGCCGAGAGGAAACTGAGCGCTGGAAGAAGTCCTCACGGTTGGGAGCTGGTAGTTGGGTCTTCATACCCGTCTTTTTTACTTTTATAGTGAGTGGGAACACTGTATGAGGGCCGAAAGGCTGACCAGGTCTTACCCTTGGGTCCACGGATGAGAGCAGGGGCAGATGTGGACACGAGTTGCCCACCCTTCGTAGGTGAGGGTTGAAGGAAAAGGATTTTTCTCGGCTTCTAAAGGGGAATGAGGCCACTGTCCCCTCCCCTTTTGAAATGGGCCTGAGTCCCTTTTGGAGGAGGAAGCACTAATCTGCCGGCACCCACTGCACGCAGACAGGAATGAAACGGATTGCACCCAACTCTTTACCCTGCGCCCACTGCACACACACGCTGTTCTAGACGCGGGTCGCTGCGGGCACAGGACAGTAGCCCCTCCCGGGACTTACGCTTTCGTGGCGCAGAAACAGAAGACGAGATCAGTTAGCAAATTGCACGCTCGGTCAGGCGGTGATCACTGTCAGGGAACAAAAGGGGAAACTGGGACAGGAGATGCAGCCTGTGACAGGCCAGGGGGCTGTGACACTGGACTAGGGACATGAGGGAGTAAGGGAGGTGACTGACAGAGTGAGGGAAAGAGCCTTCCAGGCCTGATCATTGCTCTCCCAAATATCCCAAAAGTTAGGCACTGCTGTCCCATTTCATAGATGGGGCCTGAGGCAGAGAGAGGTTAAGTGACCTGTCCAAAGTCACACAGCAGGGAAGCAACAGAGCCAGGAGTTGATCCCACGTCCCTCTTCCTCTAAACCCTATGCCCCCGGGGCCACCCATCGCCTTAGGTTCTTTGCAAACCGGGTATCAGAATTCCTGTCCTTCGGACCTGGTGACATTTGGAGGTTCCAGCACGAGTAGTGTGGAAGGATTTTGTGAGCGGAATGGGCTGTCCCTGTACGGGGTGGGATCAGCCGTAAAGGTTAATGGTTCCCAGGCTCGGAGAGGTTGGGCCATCTGGGTAAGGTTGTACAACTATGCATGGCGGAGTCCACAGCCAGAGGCCCTGGAAGGAAGGAGTCCATTGATCCTATGGTTGAGGGCTTAGGGAAGGCTTCCTGGAGGAAAAGGGCTCGGTGCTCGGCCTTAAGCCTTAGGAACCAGTACCCCGTGCCACGGTGAAGTGTCTCCCTTCTCCTCCCACAGGGACAAGCTGGCAGAGCTCCACGGAAACATGTTTGTAGAGGAGTGTGTCAAGTGTAAGACGTGAGTGCCACTGGAGGGTGGGGCGGGGCGCAGGGCATGGGCAGTCCCGGGGCCGGCCCTTTGTTCTGTCACCTCCCAGGTCAGGCTCTGCATTGGGTCCTTGTGAGCATCCTCTGGCCTGGCCAGAGACCCAGGCTTGGGTGGGGGCTGGAGACACATGCTCCCCCGGGGGAGGTGCGCTCCTCTCCTGCGCCGCAGGACGATGGCCAGAACAATGGCCGCAAACCGGGCGGCTCAAAACAGAAACGGGTCATCTCAACCTGGAGCTAGAAGTTCGAAGTCAGCTGTGGCAGGGCCTGGCTCCCACTGAGCCCTGCGGGGGCAGGGGGGGGCTCCTTCCTGCCTGCTTGTGTCTGCTGGAGGTTTCTCGTAGTCCTTGGCGCTCCTCGGCCTGTCGACCCCTCAGTCCGCCATCTGGCTGGCTTGTAAGGACACTAGTCCTGTTAGATGAGGGCCCAGCCTCCTCCAGCGTGAGCTCATTACGTCTGTGATGATCCTGTTTCCAAATGTGGTCACTCTCTGAGGTATCAGGGGTCGGGACTCCAGCATATCTTTTTGGGGGACACAGTTCAGCCCAAGACAGAGTGTGACGGAGGTGGGTCTGCCCGCTCTGGGCAGACTGAGCCAGAGCCCTTCCCGGAGTCGGGGCGCTGACTCAGCAACCGCCCAGCAAGGGCAGGAGGTGCCCATGGCCAAAAAAAAAAAAAAAAAAAAAAAAGTCCCCAAATCTATTTTGAAAAATTTCAAATCTACAGAAAACTCATAAGAATCATATGATGAACCGAACTCTGCCTAGACCAGGGATCAACAAACCTTTTCTGGAAAGGGCCAGATGGTAGAACGTTCTCAGCTTTATGGCCCAGAGGGCCTCTGTCAGGATGACGGGCTCTGCCTTCGAGGTGTGAGAGCTGCGTTAGACGCCATGGGAAGGAATGTGCGTGGCCGAGCGCCAGTAAAGCTTTATTCACAAGGACAGGAGGCTGAGGGCCAGATTTGGTCCTCATGTCCGTAGTCTGCTGATCCCCGCGTGGATTTGGCGGTCGTTCCCGTTTTGTTAGTCCTTGCTGGGCGTTTGAGGCTAAGTGCCCACTGCCCCAGGCCCAAGGGACATGTGTCTCCCAGGAGCTCTTCTCTTCCTCGGCCGCAGCACGTTCGTTGTAAAGGCCACATAGAAAGCCGTGGAGGTCACCCAGCCCCCCCCAACCCCCCCGCCAAGCTGCCCAGTGCTCCTGAGCCTTCTGTTTTTGTCCCGGTCCAAGATCCAACCTGGGGTCCCACCTTGCATGTCACTGTCGCATCGCTCTGTCTCCTCTGTCTGGAACCCTTCCCAGTCTATTTCCACGCCACTGGCATTGGGGTGCGGCCAGACCAGCTGTGTTGTGGAAGCCCCCCACTTCCCTGGGAGAACAGCTCAGGCCGCAGGGCAGCAGGGGGTGGGCTGACCTGGCCCCACAGGCCCCCCTTCCTCCCCCAACACAGGCAGTACGTCCGGGACACTGTCGTGGGCAGCATGGGTCTCAAGGCCACGGGCCGGCTCTGCACTGTGGCCAAGGCGAGGGGGCTGCGGGCCTGCAGGTGAGTGACCCCCCGCCCCGCCTGGACTCCAGGGGAGGGTGCGAGTCTCCTTGCTGATGCCCCCACCGCCTCCGCAGGGGGGAGCTGCGAGATACCATCCTGGACTGGGAGGACGCCCTGCCTGACCGGGACCTCACTCTTGCTGACGAGGCCAGCAGGTCTGACCCTCAGAAGAGCCCGGATTGGGCGGGTGGGGACGCAGGGAGAAGCCCAGCCAGCTCTGGCCCGGGGGCAGTCAGGAGAGGCTTCCTGAGAGAGGCAGTTGCTAGTGCTCTGGGCCTCACTGTCCTCCTGAGTACAGCAGCTCCTCGCACACACCGCACCGTGCTCGTGTTGCAGGCAGGGAAACCGAGGCGTCTGGAGGTGGGCTCCTGTCCAAAGCTGCCCCGTTGGGAAGTGGCTGAGCCAGGGTAGAACCCGAGTCCCAAGGCTCCATGGTCCTGCCCACGTCAACAGCCCTGCTTCTGCCAATGGGGGGTCGGGGGAGAGGGGGCCCAGGCAGAAGCGGAGCTGCAGTGGTGGGACTCAGGGCAGCTGGGAAGCCGGCCCAGGCTGCGGGTGGCCCTTGAGAGCAGAGGCAGCTGTGAGGGGAGCTGACCCCTACCCCTGGGGCTGGGCGTGTAGCAGGGGCACAAGGCCTGTGGGGAGACAATGGGGCTTGAGCCAGGAGGGGCAGGAGGGCTGTAGAGACCACCGTGCCCGGCTAGGAGGGGCTCCGTCCGACTCTGCCTGCCCGCCCCAGGAATGCAGACCTGTCCATCACACTGGGCACCTCGCTGCAAATCCGGCCCAGCGGGAACCTGCCCCTTGCCACCAAGCGCCGAGGAGGCCGACTGGTCATTGTCAACCTTCAGCCCACGAAGCATGTGCGTTCTGAGCCCACCCTGACATGCTCCCTGCCCCAGCCTCCCTCCCCTCCCAACCTTGGCCTCAGCCTGACCTGCCTTTGCCCCCCGCAGGACCGCCACGCTGACCTGCGTATCCATGGCTACGTGGACGAGGTCATGACCAGGCTCATGAAGCACCTGGGCCTGGAGATCCCTGCCTGGGACGGCCCCAACGTGCTGGAGAGGGCGCTGCCCCCCCTGCCCCGCCCTCCTGCCCCCAAGCTGGAGCCCAAAGAGGAGGCCCCCACCCAGCTCAATGGCCCAGCACCTGCCAGCCCCAAGCCGGAGCCCTCCACGGAGTCCTGCGCCCAGCACAATGGCTCTGGGCCTGCCAGCCCCAAGAGGGAGCGGTTGGACAGTCCTGTGCCGCACAGGCCCCCCAAAAGGGTGAAGGCCGAGGTGGCCCCAAGCTGACTAGGGGGCCTGGGGAGGGTGGGGCTTTTTGTAGAAACTGTGGATTCATCTTTTCTTACTGGTCTCACTTTTTCACTCGTACCTGCCCATGGGGGTGGGGGGGGCGACCTCAGGGTGCTGATTGCTGGGATCCAGGCCAGGCTCCCCCTCCACTGCCTCTCTCTCTAGCTCTGGGGGCCTCTGGGGTGGGCCTGAGGAGGAGCATTTTCGCCCTGGACATGACCTTGGATCTGACACCTCAGGCACTTGCTCCTCTAGGCCCAGGCCCAGCCCCTGACTCAGGACTTTCTGGGGAGGTGTTGCCAGGCCCTCCCTAATTACTGGCAACAAGAGTTAACTCCCTCTGGCCCTGGGCCCTCACTCCCCATCCCCTGCCTCCCCAAAATCGCCTTCACCATCCCACCAGGAGGTAAGGGGGTGCAGAGCCACTGTTCAGGAGCCAGACTTCAGGGTGGCGTGGACAGTAGGGGTTTGCCTTGCCTTTGGGGCTAGAGGGAGAAAGAGGTGTGTGCACCCAGCTGCCTCCAGACTTCCAAAGAAGTCTTCAATGCAATAAACAGCAATTCTTGCATCCGAGTCTGTGTGTTTGACTTTCATAACCTTGAAACCTAGTCCTGGAGAGCAGGGGGCAGGGCAGGACCGCATGGGCCCCTTGCCCCTGTGGAGCCGGCCTGGGCCAACCCCGTCCTGGGGACGAAGGAGAAGGACAGTACCATGGCTGGCATTCCTAGAGCCCTCAGTGTGTGATGATGGGCCCGTGTGCATGGTTTCTAAATATTTGCTCTCCGCTGCCAGGCTGTGAGGCCCTGGAGGCTAGAGGCCATGGCTTTGCAGGTCTGGTTTGCAGCCCCCGGCACCTGCTCAGAGCAGGTGGGGAGTCACCACTCATGAGCATCAAGACACAGCCGGCTTCCAGCCCGCATCCTTCACTTCCCATGCCTCAGTCTCCCCATCTGGAAAATGAGCAGGGTGGGCTGTGGAGGCCCCCAAGAAGGCAGGTCCCCAGACCTTCCGTCGACACGGGGCCCCCAGACAGCTCAGTCCAGGCGTGCAAGCAAGGGCCTCGCGGCCGCTCTCCAAGGTGCTGAAGGCACTTCCAGGGCCCGGCATGTGGCCTTTCCAGCCTGGAGGTCAGGCTGCACCTCCCTCCGCATCATGGGCTGGCCCAGCCCCTCCTTCCAGGAGTTGCGGAGCCTGAGACTCTGCTTCAGCTCCCACCCAACACCTCTTTGTGCCAGCCGTGTTCTGTCAAAACACTTTATTAAGGATCTCTGCAATCTTAGAAAAGTGGGGTGGCTTGGGGCCAGGGTCCCCACAGACTCAGCCGGTTTCTCTTCCCTGTGTGCAGGGGGCAGGGAGGAGGCCGGGGGCAGGGGAGCTGTTGGGCCATGATGTCTGTGTGTGTGTCTGTCTGTCTATCTGGGTCTGTGGGTCACTCTGCATGTGTCTGCCAGTTCCTTTGCCTGAGTCTGGCTTTCTCAGGCTTTGTGACCCTGCGGGTGTCCTGTGTCTGGGCATGTTCTGTGTGTTTCGGGGTCTGGGAGTTTGTACATTTCCATCCTGGCTCTTCTGCCAGGTCTCACCTCTCACCCCCATGCCCGTCGTCACTGTCCACAGAAGGTCCCCTAAGCCCAGGGGCCTGCAGGCACATAGAGATGGTGCTCACAGCTCCTCCCCTGCTGCCTCCAATCCCACCCGCCCAGAGCTGAGCGCTGGCTCAGGCGCAGTCCAGCCCAGCAGGGTGGCCCCTTTCAGCTTCTCCATCGAGTTGTCCGGGACCAGTGTCAAGTTGTCCTTGGCGAGTGTCGAGTTGTCCCGGGCAAGGGCCAAGTTGTCCGGGATCAGAGTCGAGTTGTCCAGACCCTTTGTCAAGTTGCCCAGAGCCGACATGCCCCGAGATTCCCAGTCCGCCATGGGGCTTCCTGGAGACCCTTCCTGGGATGTGCCATCCTTGGACCGCGGTCCTGGGGCCTCGGAGCCTGGTATGACGTCGGGGGCCACGCGGGAGGCAACGTTGTTGTGCAAAGTTCTGGAGAAAACTGAGTGAGGGTAGGGAGGATCATGAGGGACAGGGTGGGAGACTGGTGTCCCTCTATTCCCTAACCCCAGCCTCAGAGAGTAGAAATAAGGGGGTCTGCTCCCCCACCCCCCAGAGGCCCAGTAGAGGGGCTTGGGGAAACAAGGGGACTGTGCCCATGGTGCGCCCCAGAGGGGCTTTGAAGGCTGAGCATCTCAAACCCACCTACCTCGAACAGGTGCGTAGTCTCCGGTGTTCTCGGCTTTGTTGGTGACGAAAGGGCTAATGGAGGGCAGGACGATGAGGGCAAAGGAGAACAGCAGGACCTGGCGGAGACGGGGGAGGTCACCCCATCCCTCCCCCCACCCCGTGAGCAAAGAAAGGCCCAGAAGATGGGATCGTGCTTGAACTGGGGCTCAGGCTATGGTCAGCTCCCTGCACAGTCCCCTTGGCCAAGGCCAAGGACCCCCTTTATCCTCGGGACCAGTACTTACCGCTAGGCAGGTGCCTGTCTGGGCCGACTTGCTGGTGGACTGGACGACAATGGCCTGGAGTTTCTTCAGCTGCTCCAAGAGGGACCTTAGTGGAAATGCACAGGCCTTGGCTCAGCCCCATGCGGTTGTTATCTGACTCCCATCTGTTTCTGGGGTCTCCCAGCCTGGCTGATGTCTGAACCCCATTCATCTCTCATGGCCCCATTGGTCTTAGAGTCCCAGACTCTCCATCTTCGCTTCAGTAAATCTCCCTGAACATCCCCGCCCTGCATCCACTCACTTCTCGGCTACCCCACCTCCCTGATCCAGGCTGCCATCTTCTCTCACCAAAATTCCAGCTCCAGCCTCTATTCTGGCCCCGCTAAGGCCCCTCCTGCCCTCCTAGGGTTCATGCTGCCAGCAGTAGCCAGATGGAACTTTTCAAATGTAAGTGGGCTTCTCTCCACCCTCCCAGGGCTCCCCCCACCTTGGGTAAAAGCCCAAGTCCTCCCCATGGCCCCCAAGGCTTGGCACGACCTGCCCTGTCCCCTCCCCCGCCTCCTTCTCTCTCCCTTGCCCACTCTGCTCCAACCACATGGGCCCACATATTGTTTCTCCAACACCCCAGACCTGGTCCTGCCCCAGGACCTTTGCACATGCTGGTTCCCTCTGTGCCAAGGACACATTTTCACCATGTCTTCTCGGAGCTGGTTCTTTCTCATCCATCAATTCTCCTCTCAAAAGTCACCTTATGTGACCTCCCTGCCCAGAGAAGCCCCCACTCGCTCTCCAGTGCCTTTGCCCTGCTTCGCTCTCCCCCTCAGTGACAATCACTATTTGAAAATAATCTTTCACGTATTTTCACTTGTCTTAGTATGTCTCCCACTAGACTATGAGTTCTGTAAGTCAGGAGATGGTCTGTCTGTTTAATCTCGTGGTTCCAGTGCCCAGAACAATGCCCAGCACGGACAAAATACTAAATAAATGTTGAGTAGATGACTGCCCCTCTTAGAACACGTGCAGTCCTCCAGGACACCGTGTTTCTAGCCTCTGGCCATCCGTGGTCCATTTCCTCCTCCGGAAACACCCGTCCCCAAGTGCAAGTGCCCACCTCTATGCAGCCTGCCCCCTTCTAGGTGGAGCCCATAACCCCTGCCCTGCTTTGCCATCACAAGTTTGTCCCCCACACAGTTCATCTCTCCTGCGAGGGACTCTGGGGGCCAGCTCCCCCAGTCCTCTGCCACAGCAGGACCAAGACTCACAGGTTCTGCTTCTCGAGATGCAAGACCTTCCTCTGCAGCTCCTGGTTCTGGGCCGTGCAGGCTGACATCCTGCAGGGACAATGTCACAGTGACATTCAGAATATGCCTGTCACCAACTGGCCCAGCTGACTTCTCCCTGAGAGGTCCCACTTCACAGGCAGGGGATCTGAGGCCAGAGATGGGACATCACTCATCCAAAGTCACCTGGCAAGTCTGTGGACGGGTCAGGATTTGAACCCAGGTCTGCCTCGCTCCTACATCCCACGTCTGCATTGGTGTGGGGGTTTCCCTCCAGTCCGTGCCCCCAGGACTGGGAACGGAATGCCAAACTTGGGCAGCGATGCTTCCAGAAGACCAAGGAGTAGGATGACTGGGAGTCCAAGGAGGACCAAATTACAATCCTCACCCTCCCTGTGAGCTCAAGCCACTCTACTCTCTGACCTTGGTCCCCTCACCCGTCGAATGGGGCAACAGTTACCTAGTTCACAGAGTGTCTGGGAGAACAACATGAAACAAAGTTGATGAGGGTTTTCGCGGATTGCATCTGAGGAGCATCATGATGGCGATCTGTCCGTCTAGGGACCCCAGATCCAGGCTGGCGCCCCACCTTTCCCACCTGCATCCATCTGCGAGTGTGGTCTTGGCACAGACCACTCAGATGGGATATTCTGGTCTTGGCATTGGATCCAGGGAAAGGAATAAGCCCCCCCCCACCCCGAAAAGCTCTCCTTCTAAATAACTCACGGGATAGAAAAGAATCCATGATGTCGATTAAGGAAGACCCAAGGACCCAATGGTAATGTCAGTGGAGCAAATCACAGTGAGCAAGGGGCAGCTGACCACGGCGGGGAGGGACAGACCCTTCCTCCAGCTCAACAAGCTGGAGACACACGTGTTGAAAATTAGCAAAAGGACAAGGGAACAAACTCTCTTCAAAATAAAGCACCAAGGAAGAACATACTAAAACCGAGGGCAATAAGACCGTCAAATCACTGAACACTACCACTGAAACGAGTCATACACTGTACGTTAATGAACTGAATGTAGGTACATTAAAAATAATAATAAAGCTAAGAGCAGAAATGGAAGAGCTAGAACACAGAAATACAGGTGGATGGGAGGGAGGCCAGAAAGCCATTCTCCAGCGAGAATAAGTGAATAAACAAGTTTCTGGCAAGATGAGTCAAGAAGATGAAGGAAAAGAGAAAGCCCAAATGAACAGCATATGATTAAAAAGGGTACGACCAAAAAAAAAGGGGGGGCGCCTGGGTGGCTCAGTGGGTTAAAGCCTCTGCCTTGGGCTCAGGTCATGATCTCAGGGTCCTGGGATCGAGCCCCGCATCGGGCTCTCTGCTTGGCAGGGAGCCTGCTTCCTCCTCTCTCTCTCTCTCTCTCTCTCTGCCTACTTGTGATCTCTGTCAAATAAATAAAAAATAAAATAAAATAAAATGGGTACGACCGCCTACAGCACAGAGTTTAGCAAAATAAGAAGAGACCACTATGAACCAGTTCATGGCAGTCCATTTGTCACGGACCACTTCCCGGAAGTGGAGGACAGCCCAAAGCTGACTTGGGAAGACACAGAACACCCAAATGGACCTATAACACCCCATTGAGTCAGGCCCGGGTCAGGAAGTGAGCGAGCGAGCTCGTTACGCTTCTGTTAGAGAAGAGGAGACTGTCCCCTTACGTGAGTTAAGAGAGAGGTGACTGGATGACACTGGGGTCACAGTTTTTCCGTTGAGGAAGTTCTGCCAAGAATGATGTCCCCTCTGTCCTTCCCATCGCACACACACTCAAGGAAGCCGTGACAGCTGAGGACCAGGGATGTTCAGACCAGGGGAGGAAGCTCCCCGTCTTCAAGCAGAGAGCTAGAACAAGGTGGGTCATACATTCTCCTTTCTTTGTGTCACGTATTCTGGGGGATAAAGGGACCCCGAGACTAAGCCCCCTGCCATCTCCGGGCATCTTTCCATCCTTGCAATTCACGGGAAAAATAATCTCTCCCCGAGATTTGTCAGGCCCCCCCAAACTGTGACCTTAGTCACTGTTGCACCCCTCTTCCTGGCTCTGTTCCCCTCCCCCACCCCACGTGTGGCATCCCAGTCCCCCAGCCTTACCGAGTTTCCAGGCCATCTATATATTCCTTTTTCTTTTTCCGGCTCTCCTGGGCTGACTGTTTGTTGCGGATTTTCCGCCGGATTTTTTTCAGCACTCGCTCCTCGTACTGCGCAGTGACAAGGGAAGGAGGGTCCGCTCTGTTGTCTGGACCCCTGCTCTCTTTCCATAGGAGCCCCCCACCCCCAGACCCAGGGATCTGGGGGAAGAGTCCATGAGACCCCTCTAAATTCATGCAGAGTCTGCAGGGGGCTCCTGGGTCCTGATGTTTTTTCCCCGGATCCCAGTCCCAGTTAGGAACCTGCTCCCAGACTTTGCGCAACGGGGCGATGGCGCCACCTTCCGGCCGCGCCGGGGAACAGCGCTTTCCTGGGGCCGACAGGTGGGTCCCGAGACCGGACGGTCTTCGCAGTGGGCCTGGCAAACCCAGGTCGTGAGTGAAATCGGCTTGGGGGGCAAGGGGGGGGGCGCTGCGGCCAGCTATTGCCTGTGGCGGTGTGGGGGTACGGGGGCCACAGTCACGGAATTCTTGCGTGAAAACTCCCGGCCAGAGAAACTCAAACATTCCTACAATGCAGCACAGCCCAGTGGGAGCCGGTCTGCAAGAACAGCTGGCCTGCGGGTCAGCCCCTTTGTGGGCTCCGGCTTGCAAGGGGCTGTATGATACAGCGTGGAAGGCCCAGGGAAGGTTCCCGGCGCCCAAATCCGCCGCTGCCTGGAAGCCCGCCCTCGGTTCCCGGGTGTTAGGACCCGCCCATCCAGCTGGCCTTTAGGATGCATTTCCCAGCTCCAGCGACAGCCGCGTCCTGACATTCTCGCGCAGGAGGCGCACAGGTGAGACCCAGGCGCAGGTAGTGGCAGGAAAGGGGGCGGGGCCTGGAGCCCGGGCTCACCTTGGTGAGGGGCAGCTGAGTGGGCAGGGTGAGGCCTTCTTTGGCCAGAAGCTTCTTCTCGTCCTCTGTCAGCACCAGCTCCTGGCAGTGCTCAGCCCCGGGGCGCAGCAGGTGGGGGCCTGCCACGTGATGCTGCTGCTGTGGGGGAAACGGGGACAAGGCGCTGGGGGCGGGAAACCGACAGCCTCCGGGAAACGGAGGAGGGACCAGATTTGAGAAACTGTCCATCGGTCTGCGGTCGGGTCCGCGTGGGCACTGGGGCTCGAGAGCCGGCATCAGCCCTCTGAGCCGGGAACTGATCCTACAGATACCCTCACCACAGACAAAACCGCGGACGCACAGACTTTTCATCTGCTTAACAGTCATTTGAAAACCATGTATTAAGCACCTACTGCACGCCGGGCACTGTTCTGGGTTCTGAAAATTCACAGCAGTGCTGTCCGTAACAGCAAAGGGCTGGACACAGTGGGGATAGCTGACTAAGAGGGGAGAGATTAAATAAGGCATGATCCGGGTGATCATGGAGGGGAGCTGTGAAAAAGGACAGGGGCTTCCCCATATCAAGACCTAAAGCAATCACCAGGGTAAACTCTCAAGTTAAAAAAATAAAGGGGCAAAACCAGTATAAGTGTGGGATGCTACTTATTATGTCAAGCTTGGAAGGGGGTGGGGAGGAGGAGAAGGAAAAATCCCTTTGAAAGGAATCCTTGGAACCTGTGTGGGAAGGGAGGTGAGGTGAACTCCCCCCCCACCCCCCGCCTGTGCCTGTTTGTGCCTTTGGAACTCTGGCCAAATGATTGTATTTGCCTATTTTTAAAAAGTGTTTAACTAAATTTAAATTATGAAAGATAAACATCAGAAAGGAAAGAACGTTGTCATCCGAGTGGCAAAGTCTTAGAAATGTCACCCGGTGGAATGGCAGACCCCGGAATAAAGGTACAGATTGGGGCAGTCTGTCCATCCTGAGGGTCAGTCCCCACTACCCAGAATTCCAGGCCATTGATCACTGCGTCCTCATCTGTGAAATGGGGGCACTAATTGGGTCATCAGATCTGGTTTCTGGGTACTCAAAGCCCTCGGAAAGACAGACGGTCCTGGGTCCGTGAGCAGGAATTCAGTAGGTCAGCCCAGGGGTCGAGCCAGCAGCTGCTGTGTGACTTAAGGCAGATTGCTGGCCCTCTCTGTGCCATTTCCTCAAGAGAAAAATTAATGTAACAAGAGCCCCAATCTTTAGCATTTCTGTGAATTAAAAGATGATACATTGAAAGCATTTAGAAGAATGTCTGGCCTATAGCGGATACTTGGTTTTAGCCTTTTAAAAAAAAAATTATTATCACTACTGGAAAGTGCCCTACCCTGTGTGTGACTCAGTTTCCCAATCTCCGAAATGGAGGTCCTGGGACCCCATGAAGCCCTCTGAGCCCCGATGCTCTGGCGGGGGTGGGGGTGGGCACTGCTCACCAGGTCGGCGGCCCCGCTGCTGGAGAGCAGGAGATCTTTCACCGTGAGGTTGCAGCACGGAGGCTGGTCGGCCGGCTCAACCTGCTCCTCGGAACAGAGGTCCGGGCTCCACATTTCTGACCAGGGCAGATGGGGACAAACCCAGGGAAAAGTCAGGTAGGGGTCTCTGAGTGCCCAGCTTCCACCTGCCGCCTCCAGAAAGGCTTCCAGGATTAACCACAATGTGCTAGGGATTGGGGGCACAAACCCAAAGCCTGGGCTGAAAGCGAGAACCCCAGCTGGTGCCTCCATCTTCTCACTGAGAGAAATTGGGAGCCTGATTCCCCGGGACACTGCTGGGGGACCCACTGCCAGCCCAGGAGGGAGTGGTTGTTATTGCCCAGGACTATAGACTAGGTCTCCAGCCAGAGCGCCTTATCTCCCCCTGGGGGCAGGGACCAGGTCTAATTCACCTCAGGTGCCCTCCTACCTGGCACCTATAGGGAGGCTGCTCCCCAGAACGCAGACTTCTGGGCCACACAGCTCTTGGTTCGTATCCTGGCTGGGCAGAGCTGTGTGACCTTGACTGAATGACTCAACCTCTCTGAGTCTCAGTTTTGTAAAGTCTCCAGTGAATCTATTAAGCTCTCCCGCCTCCTTGCAAGGCTCAAGGGACAAAGGACGCCCTGCTGGGGGTTGGGGGGGGGGTGTCTTCTGCATAAGGCTAGTTTTCCCCAGATCCAGGAGGAGCATCTGGAGGCCTAGGGTCCTGTGACCTCACACACTTTCATCGAGCATCTCCAGGATCCAGGCATGGGAGGTTCAAAGATGAGGCTGACAGGGTGGCGTCTGGGGTGGGAGCCAGTCTGCCACGGTTACAGCCCAGCTCGGTGGCTCTGACTCATTCCTAAACCTCACCGGGAACGCCATGTCACCATCTGGGGAATGGGTCCAAGACAGCTTCTATTTCAAAGGGTGGGTGTGTGCAAGCCCAGCGCACAGAACCAGGCAAGGGTGGTGAATGAAGACGAGGAACCTACCCAGGTCTATGGCCACAGAGGCCTCCAGCACGTGGGCCACTGGCCCAGGGGGACTGACAAGGCAGGGGGGTCCAGGATGGTAGGAGGGGCAGAGCCCCTTGGCTGACTCGGCCGCATGGCAGCTGGTGGGGGAGGCGACTGCCCCGCTGCGTGGAGGGGTGTCTGGGGGGTCAGAAGGCAAGTCTTCAGAGATGCCACTGTCACTGGCTGCAGGGGACCAGATCGGGGAGCTGGGCACCGAGTCTCCGGAACCCAGGATGGAGTTTAGGAAATCGTCAGAGTCTGGGACTGGCAGGACCTGCTGGGACAGAGACGGGAGGGTGGGAGTTAAAAGCATTGCGCTTTATTCTGGATTGCTCTGTGACTCCGAGCAAGCCACAGATCCTCTCTGGGCCTCCCTTGTCCTTTCTGCAAGACAGAAGGGGCCAATGCTCCTTCCTCCCGGGGTTGTTGAGCCTGAACACAATCATGCAGCCTGGGTACCCCCAAGACACAAGCCCCAAGTTTGAGCTTGAACCCAACCCCAAACTGCTGTGTGACCCTGGACAAGTAACTATCCCTCTCTGGGCCTCAGTTTCCTCACCTCTACGAAGAAGCTAATGTCACCTACCCCTTAGAGTAGCTGAGAGGTTCAACACAACGATGAGCTTTGTTAAAACTGAGCTCTGAGTCCTAAATGCTTCCCCGAGGAAGTGGAGCTCTGGCTCTGAGGCCCAGTGTGTCCTCACCTGGTCCTCGACGTGGTCCCAGTCCTCACCCAGCTCCACATGTCTCAGGATGCCATCCTGCTGATCAAACAGGAGATCCAGGAGCTCCAGGCTGCCAATAGGGTCCAAGGGACAGCTGGAGGAAGCCATCTGGGGCAAGGAGGGGACAGGCGTGAGGAACTCACCTCCCGCTCTCCTCCCACCTCCTATCGGCATGCCACCTCAAGGTCCGTGCGGCTCAAACCGAACCCCCACTCGGCCCCCAGGCCAGCCCATCCTGCCCCTGGTGCTCCCATCTCCAGGTGGGCTGTGCTGCTCTCGCAGGCCCTCCCAGGGCAGGCGAGCTGATTTCTTTCAAAGCTCTAGACAGGTGCATGCGTGGGGGTGAACAGCCTGGTCAGCTCCTATGAAGCTGATGAAACCAGCCCCCTCTTCCCCTCCCATCCTGCCCAAGTGCCCTCTTGCTAGAGGAAAGACAAGAAGAGCTCCGGGATGGAGGCATGAGTTTGGCCATTCCGTGTGCTCTCTGGCCTCAGTTTTCCCATCTGTCTAATGGGGGGGGGGTGAGGCTCCTTCCAACTCTGGGATCTTGGGAGGGTTTCCTGGCCTCGACCCTCCCTCCCCCACAGCCCGGGGCAGGGCTCACCTTTCCAGCTGCTAAATCCCCATTCATGAGGCCAGCTGGCCCTGCCACCCACTGCTTTCTGAGTCTGCTCTGTGCTGGAGCCTCACCCCACCACCAGGACTGCAGACTCTGCTCTGCGTCTCTCTGTAGCTCTGTAACCACCCCCCAAAGATGCTGGAATTGTATGGGGAGCTCCTAGCCCATCCCTGGGTGCTGATTGGGGAATAGGCGAGATGGACAGGGTTAAGGGCCAGTGACACCAGGCTAGGCTGGGGGAAGGGAGGGAAGACCGTTATCTTGATGTTTTGTGCTTTTCTAGCCGGCAAGAGGCAAAGGCCAAAGTCTGGGGTGCCTCAGCTCTGCCACGACCTCTCCCCTACTTTCAGGGACTGTTTCTCCTCTGAGTCCCAGGACGTAGGTCTCCAGGAGAGCCCAGGGCCCCTGGCAGCCTCCTGTCTACTCCCAGGATGGAACAAAACCAAGAAAAGGACATCCTAGGCCTTTGCTGGAGCTGTCCCCTCTACCAGAAGCTCCCTTCCCTCAGGAGCTAGCAACCTCCCACCCATGCTCCAAGTCCTCCCCAGCCAAACCTAAGCAGCAATCAGTTCCTTCTAGAATCTTCTATGGTTCATTTGTTCACCGGATATTGATTGAGCCAGACTCGGTCCCACCTCAGGGCCTGTGCACTCGCTGTTCTGCCTGCTGGAAACTGCCCTCCCTCCCACCTCTGACTCTATCACTGTCTTCATACATTCAGCCCAGATGGCTGAGAGGCTATGTGTGACCGTCTCCCCTCCCCCCACCAGAGGAGGCCGGCCCCATAGCACTTTGTGACATGGCTGCTTTCAAGAACCCCTCACTGTCTGACATTGTCTTGTTCCTCAACGTGTTTTTTTGTCTTCCCTCATTTCCCTCCTCCCCACTCCCAGGGCCTTATGGGCTAGAATGGAGTTTCCTTTGTTCTCTGCTGGGTCCCCATTATCTAGAAAGCGTCTGCACACAGCCAAGGTGCTCAGTCAACCCTTACTCAGACACATGTCCTCTGTGACCACCACCGTTTGAGGCCCTAGGGATAGAGCCCTGAACAAATTATGTCATAAATACAGAAATAAATCAGGAAACTGACAAATGAGTAAGTTCTACCAAGAAACTATGTGTAACCACAGTGAAAGGCAACCAAAGGCTGGTCCTTGAAGGAGGTAACCTTTTTTTTTTTTTTTTAAGTAAGCTCTCTACCTAAGGTGGGACTTGAACTCACAACCCCAAGATCAATAACTATATGCTTTACCCACTGAGCCCGCCAGGCACTCCTTAAGATGACACTTCACTGCAGTCCTCAAGGAGGAGAAGGAGCCCTTGGGAAGATCTGGGGGAAGTGTGTTTCCAGCTGAAGAAACAGCACATGCAAAGGTCCTGGGAACGGGACCCTGTCTGGCGCGTTGAAGGAACAGGGAGGAGACCCCTGTGGCTGGAGCAGCGAGAAGAAGGTGGAGAGAGGAGGAAGGAAGGGCAGGCAGCGGATGGGGCAGTTTCTTCAGAGTCTGGGGGCGTGGGCAGGGCAGGCCAGGAGAAGGAGTTGTTTTATATTAAATACAATAGGAAGCTGTTGGGAGCTGAGTGGGCAGAGGAGAACTGAATGGAGCCTTCTGTGTGTCGGGCACGAGGCCGGGCATCAGGCTCGCAGCTGTCAGGAAAACACCCCCTTGCGCTCAAGAAATTCCCACCCCGGTGTGTTTTTCTCAATGGACCCTTCGCCATCCATTCACAAACAGACTTAATGAATGCCCATGAGGGGCCCGTCGGGTGCCATCCTTGTATCTGATGGGGACTCACATGACAGCAGCGGTGCCCCAGGGCACCCTGTACCACGTCTGGGAGACGTCTGTGGCTATCAGACCGGGGGAGCTCCCAATATGGAGGGGGTAGGGCATCCCCAAAGCCCCCTGGGGCTCCCCAGCCCCGGGGAGAGGGGGCGTCACTGTCCCCTCTCAGCCTCAGCCTCCCCATCTTCCTTGCTTCCACTGTAACCACCCTGTGTTGGACTTTTCAGGGCTTTGTTTGGCTTGGCTCGGCTTTTGTGATCCCAGCCATAATATTTATTTAGACTTTGCTGTGGAGACTCTCTTCCAGGGCAGGGACAGCAGGTGTGGGGAGTAGGTGAGGTCTGACTTCTGACTTCCCCCTGCCCCCGCCTCCCCACTCTTTGCTGACCCCCAGGAGCCCTAGGGCCCTTCAGCTAGAGCTCTCCCTCCTCCTCGTACCCAAACCTGCCAGAGGAAAGCATCTGGACTCACTCACCCCTTTCTGTAGATTTGACCCCCTAGTCCCGCTCCCCAATATACTTGTATTTAAATTTTTATATATAATTATGGACTTTAGAAAGCATTTATAGAACCCAATGAAGAGATATCTGCATGAGTCCAATAAGGATAAGCAGTACGGGACAAGAAGACTGTTTGATGCTGGCATCGTATTACCTCGTTTATGGAACAGGAACACGTACTTCCCGGCAATGCTAAGCTGGAAAGCAAAGTCACGTTCACCCAGTAGCTTCCACCAGCATGTGTGAGTGTGAAACACAGCAGGAGAGACGCGTTAGCCAAACAAGATGAAGGAACACCCCATTGAGAAACGGCTCTGAGCGCCAGCCCATCTTTGCAAGGCTCTGCTGTGTTCTTAGAGTGGACAGACTCGGTAGCATTTCCCAAACATAACTGTCTCGGCGTGGGTTTTTCTTTTAATTTTCACTTGGTTGGTTCTGAACTGTTACCAACACATGAAAATGTTAACGATACCCACCAGAATGACTGAAATAAAACAGATGGACATCGAACACTTCTGGAAGATAAAGGAGCCACTGGAACGCTCCCGCTGTTGGTGGGAGTCAAGACGTTCTACCTCATTTGGGAAATTGGGTAATCTCTTATAAAGTTGAACGTGCCTTTACCGTATGATGGCACCACACTGTATGGTTCCATTTATATGAAATCTGGAGACTAGACAAAGGAATCTTGGGGGAAAGAGAGTGGTTGCCTAGGCTAGAGTGGGGAGCTGAGTGGACAAGGGCAGGAAGGGACTTTTTAGGGTGGGGAAAATATTCTAGATCTTATTTTTATTTATTTTTATTTTTTATTACTTTAAAGCATTTTATTGATTTATTTGAGAGAGATTGAGCAAGAGAGAATGAGAGCACAACCCGGGAGAGGGAGAAGCAGACTCCCCCACTAAGCAGGGAACCCGATGCTGGACTGGATCCCAGAACCCTGGGATCATGATCTGAGCCAAAAGCAGATGCTTAACCCACTGAGCCACCCAGGGGCCCCTAGATCCAATTTTCAGTGGTGGTTACATGAGTGTATAGAATTGTCAAAACTCGTCAAATTGAATACACACCCAAGACCTGTGCATTATTTCTGTAAACTAATCCTACCTCAATAAAAAATGTACAAAATATAAAGTGAACAATTACATACAGAAAACACTTAGTAGAACATTAGAAACAACAAAATAGCCATCAGCAGGGGATTGGTGAGTAGAGCCTGGTGTATTCCCATAATGAAATGTTACATGACTTCGAAAATGAAAGACGATTATTTGTATGTGCCGATATGGGGCAATAATTATTTTTTTTAAAGTAGGCTCCACACCCATCCTGGAGCTTCACACGGGACCCGAACTCACCACCCGGAGATCGAGACCTGAGCTGAAGCTAAGAGTCAGACACTTAACCAGCTGAGCCCACCCAGGCGCCCCTGACAGGGGGCAATATTGAGTGTATATGGTTCCATCAGTGTTTTCTCACCATTTTGGTTTTTGTGTTCTTCGTCCCACTGAAATCGTAACACCACACGTAGGTTATGTACCTGCTCATTCACTCTATGTGATCTGTGCTTTCTGCATAAAAAGAGGAAGATCTGTTTCACCCCGTGAGCACTAGTTTTCATCCCCTAGAAGACAATATCTTCCCCACTGAAAGTGCACCTGGTAATTGAAACAGGGCAGCGCAGAACATAGGATACCACATGTGCGTGAGGGCAGGGGAAATGAACGTACGTTTATGGACTACTGCTGGAGTGAGACACGATGGGGATTGGGGTAGCCTGCACGGCTGGGAGCTCCTCGAGGAGGAGGCTTTTTTTTTTTCCTAAGATCTTATATATTTATTTGACAGAGAGAGTGGGAACAGAAGCAGGGGGGACGGGAGAGGGAGAAGAGGGCTCCCCACTGAGCAGGGAGCCCAATGTGGGGCTCGATCCCGGGACCCTGGGATCATGATGTGAGCTGAAGGCAGATGCTTAGCTGACTCAGCCCCCAGGTGCCCCAAAGTAGATGTTATCTTCTGCATCATCATTTACTCTCCTGGAATTTGACGCCATGTACCTGTTACATCTTCCACATAAATGCAATTTCATTTAAACAAAAAAGAGGGGCACCTGGGGGGCTCAGTCTGTTGGGCGTCTGCCTTCGGCTCGGGTCGTGGTCCTGGGGTCCCCGGGTCTTGGGATTGAGCCCCACGTCGGGCTCCCTGCTCAGTGAGGAGTCTGCTTCTCTGTCTCCCTCTGCCTGCTGCTCCCCTACTTGGGCTCTCTCTCTCTCTGTCAAATACATAAATAAAATCTTAAAAAAAAAGAGAGAGATAAAACATTACAAATGAAGCAAGGATCATGCATTCTTCACAGTTCTTCAAGTTTCCTGATATAAGCTCACCCCGGGTCCGAGTTAGCATTTAAGAGCTGCCTTTCCTACAACAGTAAGTTGCTTCAGCTGTGTCCCCAAAGCCCAGCATTCCCACCAGGACTAGGTGCCACCCTTGTAACATTCCTCAAATAAGGAGAATACTCTCTTTCACCATTATTGCTTTATTCTGGCGTGAACACCTAAGTATCAATGATTGCCAGCCAAGCCCTGTCAGGAAGCAGATCCCTTAGACCCATGTCTTTCTCACTGATCTCTCTTTCTTTCCAACCCTAAAATTACCTCAGGTGGTTTCCAACAGTACAGAGCGAAAATGCACTCAAAGCTTTTTGAGCTAATTCTAACTAAAGTGTGAATGACTGGTAT